GGTTGGAACTTGATGATCTTAAGGTCCTTTCCAACCCTAACTATTCTATGATTCTACTGCTAGATCAATCAGCATTTCAGCAGGGATGACACTGTTTTCTGGCAGTAAGTAACCCACGCTATGACTTCACCTCTTAAATTTCCATAAGAGATTGGTTTTCACTAGAAGTGCAGTTTTTCCAGGCCATATTCAACTTAACTGTATCATGATTTAGGAATTTAACTTGTTCCATACTCTCAGCAGCTCAATGAATGGCACTGTTTTTTTTGAAGCTTGGGAGCACTGAATTTCTTTCCTTAGGCTTTATTAGAATTTAAGAAATTAAAAGAACAAATTATTGACTTCTGTATAAGTGCTTATATGTATGCATTAGTACATACATACATATGTATATAAATACTTATATATGTGTGTATTCTTGTCTTTGAAAGTAACCTGGTTCATTTTGTATATTGTATTTGCATTATCGTGCAGACACTAACCCCTAAGAAAAAGCCACTGCATGAGAATAATTTCTTGCGTAGTAACATGACACAGGCATAGGCAGCCTATTCCAGCCTTCCCAGAAGAGCTTTCTGGGCAGCAAACATGTCACAGGTTTTCTAAGACAATCATAGATATGCCCAGAACTCTGCACTATCTCATTGCTTGTTGAAGCAGGGATGGTGAGCAATCACAAAGTATACAGCCACAGAAGGAAGAAGCATCTGAAGTGTGCTGCGTATGCTGTGCTTTGATCCAAATGTAGCTAAGAGATAATTCAGAGAATGGGTGGAGGTGGACATGGAGGAAAGTGAAGTATCTGGGGAGAGGCAAAGAGGAGCAGAGGACTGGAAAATGGTAAGAGCAAGGAGGCTGGAGGCTGGGGCACAAAAACTTGTGGGAACTTAGGGGAGAAGATGGGGTGTGTACAGGCAGGAATGTAGGAGGGGCTGGGCAGCGACCTTCAGGTTATTTGCTCCTGTAGCTGCCAAGTTGGGCACATGCCTCAGGGTGGGCATCCAGCACCAACTGATGGCTTCACTGATGCTGCTGCAACTGAAGCTGTGAGATCCAAAGGAGAAAAGCGGTGAAAGAGCCCTGCGGTATCACACTCATGTTCCAGGCTAACAAACTGTGATGCTGTAATGGGCTCTGTCATGCCTGTGTGACGAAAGATGCATCCATTTCTGTAGAGGACACATGAAATTCAGATTCCATTAAGTGCTGCAGAAGGTGTTTTTGGCAAAGAAATGAGAATGCTGCATCAAACTGAGGCTAATTGTATTAGAAGGCTGTCTCACAAATTAAATATTGCTCAAACGGGCACAAAAAACCTATAGGAGCTTTATTTCTATAAATTGGTAAGGGTCTTTTTTATTTAAAGACCTATATAGCAGCTCAGGACCAATCCATACTTTTAGGCCCAGGAGGAGGTAATATTGTTTATCTTGTAAAAACAGAAATGCAGCTGCTGCCTTTGTGCTTGTGCTCAGGAAATAGGTAACTCTAACCATTCACGCCTCCTAACATTATATACAAGAGTTGTAGCAGCTGCGCTCACTCACGTGTTGGGATGAAGTCCAGTAGTGTATGCAAGAGCATGTATGATAAATACTGAAGATTCTGTTAGGTCCAAAACTATTCTTCCTGCCATGGGATGAAGTAGGAAGAGAAAGAGCTTTCTCAATTTGCCACAGAGTGTACAATCACTTTTGGCTGCAGCCCTCAAAGTTCTCCTTCATAGGAGTACAGTGCAGGATTAAATGAGGTCATGCTTTCATTTCTCTCACACCTACCTCATTCTGATGTGCAAAGAACTGATAAGAATAGAGCTCTCTATCAGAATTGTATAATGGGGAAGATGAGGGAAGAGTGGAATAGTAAGGGAGAGGCAGGAGGAGAGTTTAGGACCCTCCCTCATGGAGGGAGTCACAGTAGTTCAGCAGTCTTCTGAGGAGAGATTTGCTTTATGGTACTCTTGCAGTTGTCCTTATAGCAGCAGATTATGGGAGGTGCAATGGCTAAGAATTTGAGTAGCTGAAATGAAAACCTGTCTCTGAGTTTGATTTTCTGTTGCTTACATTAATCTTTCAGCTACATTTTATGAATGAAGCAGTTGCCTCCCACTTGTTGCTTCTACACAGGACATGAAAGCAAATGCATTTCTTTTCAAGATGGGATGGCAGAAGTCCAAACATATCTAACAGCGGAAGGAAGCAATCTTATCAGCCTTTCTGGCCCATTGATAAAACCATACAAGGAAATCATTCAGCTTTAAATGAGGAAAAGGAAGTCTTAGATAAAGTTTAGAAGTTGCCTTGGGAGATTTCATACACGTCAATGAAAAAGTCACATACAATTAAGCAAGCATTCCAGTCTGGATCAAGTGCTTTGTTTGTGGTATCAAAGCAGAACTATTTACAGTTTTTGACAAACTTCTCTGCAGTGGATCACTTGACATTTTTCTGGCCTGTCTACTTGGTCATACACCTTTTATCTAAGCTCTCCTTTATGGAAAAAAACAGCAGCAGCCATCCTGAAGCACTGGTTTTTCCTCCATTCATGGCATTAAATCTTATTTTTCGTCACCATTAACACAGAGTTAATGGTGTTAATGAATACCTGTATCTTCCTGCTAAATCAATTATAATTAAACATGTCAGTATTTAGACTTTACAATGGTGGCATAAGGATAAAATTAACCTAAAATAAAAGGAAATGCTCCACAGAGGCAGGACTTTCAATGTATGGGTTGTATCTTTTTTAATGAAATTCTCACGTTTGAACTTGGATAAGAAACTCAGAAGTTTGAGCAAGCCCTTTTGGATGCAGGATGTTACTTTCTGACACACAAAGAAGCAGATGGACTATGCAGATAAAGGTGGATTATATACTTTAAGTGTGAGTCTATGCATGCTTAAAACACACAGAAGGCAGTGTCAGCATGATACTCAGTGTATCTTTAAAGTAAAACACTTGTTTATTGGCTATCTGTGAAAGCCAGTGGCATATACTTGCCAAGCTCTTTCACTTGCAAACTTGGTCATGTATCAAACATTGCTTTGTTATTCCAGAAGATGTGGCATTTTAAATTCTATTTATTTGCCTCATGTATCTAGTAGTAAGAATATGGGATAGAGAACTGCATGAGATTCCTTTCCTCCTGGAATTAGTACTGTGGTGGGCACCTGAAAAGTGCTGCTTTCCTACTGATGGTGCTTCTGTTCTAATCAGGCTCAAACAGAATTCTGGCTGTTCACCTACTTTATTGTTTACTTATTTTAAAGCTTCTTGTTTTGTTATCATGCACTATGTGGTTGTCAAGCCTGATTTATCAGAGCCCCGTTCACTGTGACCTTTAAAGTACAGCATGTCACTGTAGCAAAGTCAGTTTTCCCATAGCAGAGAAATGAATCAGTTGACACAGCCATGCCCTTTTACAACCTGGAGAATTTATGGGGTCAGAGGCTCTCTGTGCAGTTCTGTGTACAGTCAGGCTGTAGGTCAATAGTACATGAGCTACTATAAGTCAAATCTCAAAATCTCTCCCTTTTGTTCTGCTTCTACCCGTTACATCATGAAGGACACTTTAAATACAGCAGAGATAGAAGTATATTGTTGAGCATCCACCAAAACAAACAGAAAACCCTCAGTTCTTACAGAGTCAGCTGAGCAGTTGTTTTCCATCTGTCAAAATATGATAGTTGTCATCTTTCAGGCAGAAGAGGTAGAAACGAAAATACTCACTCATCCCATGCAGTCTCAAGTGTTGTCAAAACAAGCTCTTCTGGAATGACAAATGCCACAGACCTTGGTCCAGTCAAGTGGTTTCTTCTGCTCTAACAAGCTGCTACCAAAGTATTTATAACTCTTATTTTTGCAAGTTCTCAGACTGCCTCCCACTTCTGCTTGTCTGTCCCTTAGGGCACAACTCTGAAATAGAAAGGGGACACATCTGGGCAGTCTGCAAACAAGCTCAAATACGTAATAGAGGTAGTATAGAAAAGATCTTTGAATTGCTCATAGGTGTAACACATTGTCATACACGTACATTTATATATATATATGTATGTCCTGATCATTCAGCTTAAATGCTGAATAATTAAGCAATAACCAAGCTGTGTCTTTGAAAAAAAGGGATTTTTCAAAATACTCTTTTTCAAACCAAAGCCCAACACAGATTACACACTGAATTTCTGATGACATGATTTACCCTAGACTGAAGGAAAAGGGATGAACTATAGAACATGGAATTCCTCGTCATGCATTCCAGATAAGTTTCCATGTTTTCATAGCAGAGAGTAATAAACAAATGGTAGAGAGAGCAAGACCCATATGTTAGTGCAGTTGCCTGAAACCCTTAGAAATCAGTGGATTGGAAGCTATTAAAATACAGCTTCTCTGTGTATTTTCTTTAGGTTCTACATCATTTCTTAAAATGAGGTGGCTTGTTTCACTTGTAACTAATACTGACGCGTATCAGGAGTAATGTTATTGACAGTTACCCAGGGAGAGGTTTGACAAGACCCACTCTGTGCCTACTGAAAGCAACGTAACACCTCTTGATCTCCTGGAATTACCTGGCCTCTGAAATGCTTATCCAAAAGTATAGCAGCCTCTCACTGGAGTTCCTCTGTGCACAGCCTGTTCCAGCTGTGATGTGTCTTCAGGCTCAATAGAAAAAGATAACTCAGGTGTAGCTCAGGTTTGAGCCTTCAATTAGGTCAAGCTACAATTAAATCTGACAGGAGGAAACAGGTTAATTGCTTTAGACCCAGTTTAACAAGACTTGGCCCTTGTATAGAAACACTTAGAGAAAAAAATAACAGTTTTGTATCTAGGTGAAGGAAGAGGGAAAATTTGCTGTATTTTTAATATCACAATAAGAAAATTTTATTTTTATATAAAGAGATACTCAAATATTACGGTATTAAAGAGTCAATATAAAAGCTAGGTCAAACCTGACAAGGTATAATCTTTTACAGCTAACAGCAGACTTCTTTCTGCGCCATTCTCAGGAGCAGCACAGGCATCCTATGGAAGAGACAACACTCTTTTGCTCTCTTTCAAAGACTGCAGTTTTTAAAGAATTTCATTGCTTTTCCATTTGACTTGGGCTCGCACAGCCTCACTGATGTTCTAGCCATGAGTAAACCAGGGATTGACTTGCTTTCTGCTGCTCTGCACTGTTTGTCTGACTGGGGAATGAGAAGAAGGAATATGGCAGATAGTTCTTGCTTTCCCATTAATCTGGCAAAGCCACACTCTACTAGTAGGTTACTCCAAAATAGTTCATGCTTTGTTCAGTGTGACTTTTGAACACAATCAAGTGTGTCCAGTAACAGCCCCAGCCTCCTCCCCCCCAACTTGTTCTATAGGCAATTTTATCTTTCATATAAATCATGAAGTAATTAAACTTAAAAAAAAAAAAAAAGAAGAAGAAGAAAAAAATAACGTATCAGTAATCCTAATCATTTCCTCTTGGACTTCATCTTCCCATCAACTCTGTCAGTTGTTCATAAACCCTGCTTTGGAGCCATTGGTTTGGTTTGAGAGGAACCTATTCAGTCTCGTATGTTGCTAACTGAAAAAAAAAGGAATAGGAAAAATGAAATATTGGATGTATCTTCTTGTGAACTTGCACATAAGTTTTATAATAGGTGTTTCCCAATTTATTGCTTCCCCACAATCATTACTGGAATAGCTCTGCTCAAAACATTGAAAGTATATATGTTATAGAGTATTAGCAGCTTCAAGAGCTAAAGGGAGGGTTGTGTTCTTCTGGCTGATTATGTATGTTACACAGGAGAATGTGGCTCTCTGAGAAAGCCAAAGCTTTTTTTCCCATCCAAGGCTATATCTAGGTTCCAGAAAATATTTGTAATAACATATGGGATTAGACCATATAAAAAAGGAAGAAGAATGAGGAAAGTTTGATGGGGGAGGAAGAAAAGGGCAATTTGGTTCCTCTGGCGTAGAATTGCATGTCTGGACTTTATCTAGCAAGCAGGTTTGACATTTATACTGTGTTTATCTCAATGTGGCATCAGAGTTCTGGATTTCTGTCTGTGTGACCAGAGGAAAGTCACTTCACCCCCTCTATGCTTCCATTTGCACCAGAGCCTCTTATTTGTCTTCATTTAGAATTTCAGTTCCGTGGGGTGAGGAACTATTTGTGCCAACCACTAAGGCACAGGTCTCAGCTGCAGCCTCTGCCTATTGCTGAAATACAAACATTTCTATTTTGTTGTGACTTTAAGAAAACTATTTGATCTTTTTGCCTTTAAACTTTTAACGAGACAGGAACTCACAAGCAGATTGTGAGGATTTACTGGTTAATGCTAATGAAATATACTTACTTCCTCTGAAGGCTTTTAAGGACAGCAAAATGTTGTTGAGGAAATGACAAATGCATTCCATTTGTTTTGCATTAATTCACATACACTATATGATGGACTTCAAAACTGCACTTTGATCCATCACGTGGAATAGTCCATCTCCCGACAGTTTGTGGTGTAGCTGCCTTTTTGCAGTCTGTGGAAGGAGGAGGGAACTGCGCCTAAGTTTGCTTCAGGAATACCAGGAATTTTAATGATTTCCTGTGTCAAGTCTGAGGGTCCTCCTTTACCACGTGTAAACAATAGTAGAGTAACTTACACTAGTGAACTCTCCAAGAGCTAAAACCAAACTAGGATGTGACTTGTCTCAAAGTACACTGGACAAACACACCAGAAGCCTGTTCTAATATCAGTGCTTCCTATCAAAATCAGACTCACTTTACCAATGCAGGGTATTGAGATCTGGGCTAGCAGCCTGGTGGTAACACCGCCACAGATTCACAAGGAAACCTTCAGTCTGCTGATCTCTCAAGTAACCAAGAATTATGGAACCTTTTTGTATATAGCATAAGGAACATGGAGAATTTCCGCTCAGGAAGTTCTACGGAGAGGTTAATAATAAAGGGTCAGAGAAGCCCAGTTTCCCGAGGAATCTATCAAAAGTAAGAGAATAAATAACATCAGAACCTGCAGGCCTTCAACACAAGTGGAGGATAAAAACCATTTTTCCTAGGGAATGGTAATAAGCTCATACTGTGGATAAAAAGCTTCCTCAGAGGTGCTGGTGCTGGCTACATGCCTTTTGTCTGGGAGTGGGAGTAGAAGTAAGAAAACAGCTAATTTTTACTATTAGAAAGTATAATTTTTGCACTTTTGTAAGATTTAAGATCTGCCTGGAAAGGTAATTATTTTTCTGACTGAAATCACTGAGCAGTTCATATGGCTCTGTTGACTTCAGATATGTATATATTAGAACCAAGAGCTTTTACAGTGATAGAATGTTCCATAAAGGCTTTGCAAGTCAGAAGTATTTCGTATTTGTTTCCAATTTGCATGGCAACAGGAAACTATCATGATATATTTCTATTTGCATGTGTATGCGTATGTGAGCATATAGGGAATTTAGAAATCCAGTAACCCAGGAGGGATGCTGAATATGTTCAGACTGAAGAAGAGGGAGAGACAGGCTGCCTGATAACTGAAGAAAACAGTTCATTTAATTCTGTGCAGGCAGGCAGGAAAGGGAGTGCAACATAAGCAAGACATTTCATTTGTGGTTGAATCCACAGATGAGCTATTGTAGAAAGTATTCTCCAAAACATGCTTACATGAGAGATGGGGCACGTGGTACTGATTAGATTTAGTACCATCAGGGCAATTTTATGACACAGAAACATTACAGTTTGAAAGCTGCAAACGTGTTTCAGTGTCAGAAGGCTGTCCCTTCACTGTTACACTGCCTTAATCGGAATTAATGGAGCTCTGCACCTTCTCAGAAAGTGCTCAGCACCTTCTAGCTTTGGCCAGTGTTATAGTTGGAAAGACTCAAAGCTAGAGACAGTGTTTTCTTTTAATAGTCAAACATGCTGGAAAACAAAGGGGAAAGCATGCCTTACATTCCACTGAAGTCAGTGGTTTCTGTCTCTTTTTGCACTTCAGATCACTTCCAGTCCCCTTTGGCAGAAAAGAAGAGCCCGTCTGAGTCTGCATTGTCTGCACCCATAAATGGGTACTGTTCTCACACCTAAGAGGCAGGGAGTGCTGCACCCTTCTCACACCATGCTGCTTCTGCTGTGTCCAGTCACTAAATACCTCCTTCCTATTAGTTGATAGATTAACAAGTGTACAGCCTTTTGTTTTAATTTGCTCTTCTCCTGGCATGGCAGTGGTTTAATTAACACTCTTTTCATCTAGATGATGCCTGAAAGTTTAGTCAGTGCAATGCTTAGTTGGATTTAGTCAGATACATCAGATCTATAAAAGCATGAGAAGGAAGAATTTTGTGCATTCATTTACCTGAAAATGTCTGTAAATATGAATTTGGGAAACACAGTGACCAGACGTTGTGCAGAGTTGTTACTCTCAGAGCGTCTTCTGAGCTTGATGCAACAACCATTCTGAAAAATGCTGAGCACTGTTCTGTGGAATGATTTTTCCGCTAGGAACACGTTTACACAGCAAACAAAAGGATTTTAGAATCGGTTTAACCAAATTAAGAGGTTAAGAAAATATACTAGTGTGTGTTGGATTTAACACTTAGAACATTCCAGACTTTGTTTGTCTGATTTTCACCTCCTCTCTTTATTCTACACTATAAATCAGTGGAAAGCTAGATTTCCAGATCTAGATTTTTTTTCAATCCCTCTTTTTCCAAACCAGGGAAAATAGGAACAATAATAAAAATACAACAATAAAAAACACAGAAGACTCAACTAGGCATATAATTATTCCTCCAGTGTCATTAACTCCTGATTGGATTCATGGTGATGAATACAGGAATCCCTAACTAATTTCACTTTCTGATACAATTCCCTTCCAATTTCCTTTATCCTTAAACTCTTGCTCATGAGAGCATTCTGCGAGATGACAATACCAAATCAGCATTTCATTTATCAGATTTTAGTTGTTTTCTAATTGTTTGGCTTTACATCCGAATTTAATTTGTTCAACTAACAGAAGTCAGGGTAACACGAATACATACGATTTAGCAAATACGCAAGACTCTGTTACAAAAACACAGCTACTGTTCTTGCTAGAGGGAAGTGCCAGGGGCCCTCCCAACATGAGTTGTTAATGACTTTCCTCTTCAGCTGCCCTAAAGAACCCATTAAGTGCCAGATTATTTCCCTAACAATGAAGAGCACTGGTTCCTCTTTGGCCTATGTGTTTATTTAGTAAGAATTACAACTTCCTTCACTGATACCTAGATTCAAAGGAAAAGGAAGTCCAACCCTGAGGCTATTTTCAAGTCAGCTGTTGTCAAGGAAAGCCTCAGAAATTCTTTAATGATGAAAACAGGATTTAGTTTTCAGGCCCCCGAATCTAAAAAGCAGCAATATGAAACTTTTCCAAAAGTCCTCATATTTTATTTTACCCTTAGGCTGAGGACATAGGGAACAGCAGCCTGGTGTGTTTGTTGCTTCTTCAAGTTCTAAATGCTTTTTAACAGGACCGTCAGCTTATAACTCTTCCTCCACCTGAGTGAAAGCACTGTTTGAACAGCATTAGGGTATTCAAAAGCACTTTTGTTTGGGAAGGAGAAGTTTGAAAAGGCATTACTTGGGAAAAGTGGACTGACGTTGGCATTGCAGGAAGCATCTCAGAAGATAAAATATGGTAGATATTTTGACAGATATTTTGGGCTTTGGCAAAGCACAGAAACTCACAAGTCTAAGAAGGTAAACACAAAGAAAAATAAAGTAGAAAAGAAAAAAGCAAGATAATGGAAGACCTTTTAAAATAGTTCCATTCAAATATGTGCTGGTAAAGCGTTCACCTGGAACATCTAAAGAAGAGCACGTCTGCAGTGTACCATCTTGAACTCGTTGAGGATTTGCAGGTGCAAAGCCTATGTGAACTGATGAGTCTATCCCACGTAGTGCTGACGCCCTCGTGTTCCACATTGAAGAGTCTCAGTATTTTACAAAATCAACCCTCTGAAAAGTCCAAGAGCAATAATTCATGCTGGGAAAAACAGACACTCATAAAAAAAGAAACAATTTTGATAGTAAAAAGATAGTGAGACACAGTCCAGTGATAAAAAGTGATGTGATGCTGCCTCTTGAGCACAGCTAGGGACAGCTGGAAGATGGGGGACTTTGTCAAGGGTGACTGTAGACAAAAGCCTGTAAGACAAACTACCTATGATGTGAAAAGCTGAGCAAAGACTGATACATAGCACAATTCAACAGGTGAATAAAATACATAGTGGATGAATGTTGTTTTGTAACAGCTGGGCCAGTGCTGGGGGTCAGATAACAGGCAGTGGAGATCATAGGAT